GATTCTATGTTTTCAAGTATCCACGTTATTACCGTTGAATCTGCTTGTCTCCATTTAATATATTTGGCATCATCAGATTTGAGAGGTGCGGCGATGATGTGCTTGAGCCGTCCTCTCCCGTCCAGAGCCAGACTCATTTTACGCGCCCAAATGGCGTAGTTCCTATCGTTGAGTTTTTCCGCCAAATTTAACGGCTGATTGGAAGAGCTCTCGATAGGTTCGGCCTTGGGTGCTAAATTATGAAAATTTTGGAGAATTTCCAGAATGTGTGCAAGGTTGACTGCTGCTTCATTGGATCGGATTCCCCTGTGTAGGTGGAACTCTCTGGAGTTGGATCGGACATTTTTTTTATGGTAGATGATGAACGCTGCGTATCATTCAATTGTTTTGATCGAATGATGGCTCTGATACCATATTAGAAATATAGAATCAATTCACAGCTGAAAAAGTTCATCTTATTGAATACATCTCTAATAATGTCTATAAATATTACAAAGTTAATAATGAAGACAATCAAGGAAAGTGAGTGGAAGTTAATCAAATATCCTGATTGGTAATTTGATTCCAATCAAGGATATTATCAAGATATTACACTATTCCCTTTTTGTTTGATATTTCTAACATACACGTTCTATATTAGTTTATGCAGGCTCTGCGGCTAGATCATCGTAATGCCGCCTTGCGCTTCATTAAATACTTGAAGGGGCACTCTGGTTAGGGCCTTTTACTCCATAGTGACAACAACCTAGCTAGTTCTTACATCTTACTCTGACTCTGATTGGGCAAGTTGCTCACTCACTCGCCGGTCTGTTACCGGTTATTTTAATTTATTATATTGGGTGGTTCACTGATTTCACGGCGCTCTAAAAAGCAGACCACGTACTGTGTCTCGTTCTTTCACTGAAGCTGAGTACCACACCATGGCAAATGCCTTTAATGAGATTAGGTGGATTTGTGGCTTGTTGGAAGCCCTTTTCGTCCCGTGTGTCGCAACTCCCAAGTTATATTGTGATAATAAATCTGCTATATTTATTACTGCGAATCCAGTCTTCCATGAACGGTCTAAGCATATTGATATTGATTGCCATATCGTTCATGAATGTGTTCAACGTAAGCACGTCTCTACTACTTATGTTCCTAAAAATTAAAGCTTCATCTTGCTGATCTATTTACAAAGGCTATTTCTAGTCCCCTTTTCTGTTTTTTACTCTTTAAGTTGGGCATTTTGAATATTCATGCGCCAACTTCTGGGAGAGCTAGTATTGAAGTATTTATTGTATTTATTTTTATTTCCTTGTACATATGTATTTTCTAGTTAGATCCTAGTTAGGTTTGGTAATTTATGTACTATATATATGGTTTGATGGTTCAATGGAAATGCAAGCAAATAAGTTTAAAAAAATTTACAATAAATAAAAGAAACTTTCACTAACTCAACTTGAGTATCCTCCGGACTTAGGTATGGGAAATGAGAAAGGTCTAACTTTTTCATGAGCACAAACAAAGGTGATACAGGAAAAGAGTTAAAAGGTCCAAATTTTATTTCTCGAATTATATGTCATAAAAAATGGCTTAACATGAAGTTAGTGACGTTAAATAAACATTTCATGTTTCTTTTAAAAAAATGTTTATTGAGAGGTTATCCAAATATTTAATTTTATTTTACTTTTTGTTCTTGTGTTGTTTTTATATTGGTGTGCTTCTTACATACATAAAAGTTTTAGAGCTAAAGAAGAATTACTTCAAGGTGTACCGTTTATACACAAAAGTTTTGAATGGGCCGTTACTTCAAGGTGACTGTCTGACCGGGTATAAGGGATCCTCAGGGGTGACGCTCATTCTTTTTTAAATAGTAGAGCATGTACCGTTATATATTATTCAATATTTGTGCACTGGAAATACCCGTAAAGCCCCAGGGCTTCAAATCGGGGCTTCAAAATTTCTCTCTCTGCCACGTCAGCTTTAACTTACCTCACAGATTCAGTGGAAATGGGTTTGAAGCCCCGAGGCTTCAAACCTTCATTTTTACATTTTTAAATATACATCTTCTAAAACTAAATTAATAAAATTTAATTATTTTATTATTTAATTATATTGAAACAAGAATAATTAAAAAAATTACATTCATTAAATTAAAAGAAATTGAAGCGACAATAATTTTAAAAAATTACATTCATTAAATTAAAAAAAAGAAAGCGACAATAAAAAATACATTATTAAAAAAACTAAGGTAAATTATATTTGGCCTTGATCTCTTTTTGTCTTCTCTCGAAGATCATACGTTTGAAGGCCGATAACGTAGAAAGGTCAGTTTCCATTATTTCGATCTCGTCCTTCTCTTCCTTTCTTCTCGCCCTCTCTTTTTCTTGAATATTGAACACCCAAAGTTGCTCAACCATTGCCCGACCGATATCATTGTGAGAAGGAACGGAAACAGAATCAGACCTTCCAGAACCCGAGGCAATGGATTTTGCCTTCTTTCTTACGATTGTCCGTGGAATGGGGTCCTCGTAATCGAAATCCAAAACGTTGAAGGGAGGCCTTTGTTCGGACGAACCGATAGTGTCATCGACCTCAACCTCGGCGTCGACGGAGGATATTTTCTTTGACGATCCTCCGTCGGAATTGATGAGTTGTTTCCACTTCGGTGAACAACTCAAAATACTCCAAAGATCGATGGGCACCTTGCCTTGGTGCCCGTCATCTTGATACCGGGCCGTGGCAAGCAAGAGAACATCGGCATCGTTAGTCCCGCTTCTCCGGGACCGGGCGCATTCCTCGTAAACTCCGATAAACTTTTGGATTTTACTGTTGATGTGGCTCCATTTGGAAGTGAGTGGGTCCCGGGTACGGTAGGAGCCATCCTTGTTCATCGCCGTAAAGAACTTCTTCTCGATACGATCCCACATCGCATCCTTCGTTTACTTCGAACCTTTAAAAAAGTATAACACAAATTCTTTTAACACAAATATATAACACGATTATATAAATAAAAACATAAATATATTAGAAAACATATAATTTTTACCAACTATAGGATACTCGGAGACGTCAACCCAAGCCGACGCCAACAAGCACTCTTCCTCCCGCATCCACTTTTGGAGTGGCAGTGCCGCCTCGGTCTTCGCTTGAGTGCCTTTCGCTTTGTGGCTCTTTCGGCGTGCACTTGTTTTGGTGCCAGATGGTTCCGGTTGAGTCTCCGGAACCGACTCCCGCTTATAGACGTACCCCGATGGTTGCGTCTCGAACATCGACGAATTACTCCCGTATTGTTGGAAGATCCACATGGCGTGCTCGTTAGGCTCAAGATCGTCGAGGAAAAAGCCGGAGTCGGAGGGATTCATGTTGAAAAGAGAGTTGGAGAATTGATCAAGAAGATGTGAAGAGGATTGATGAGAACATTGGAGATTGAAAGGTGTGAGAATTGGAGGAGATGTAGTTTGAAATTTATAAAAAAATAAAAAAAAATTGGCTTGCAACAAGTAATTTAGCCGTTAGGGGGGAGGCTGCGTCAAACTTATGATGCCGAAGGAATGACGCCACTTTGAAGCCCAAGGATGGCGGTGTTTAACGCCCACGAGCGTTAAAAACGTGCTTGACGTCGTTGGGCGTTGGACGTATTTCCCCTGCTCTTAGTATCATGAACGCATATGACCAAATATATGTTTAATTTTAATTACTTTCTTTGTCCAAATTTATTTAAAGAATAACACACAAAACATAACCTTTTTTAAAATGATTTTATCTATAAATTGTTATAGAAATAAAAAGTACAAACTACAAATTTAAAAACTCTATCAAAAGTTCTACAAAAGGAGGTGCGACAAAAATTTGTTTTATTTTATCGAATGAGCAATGAAAAGACAAAGATAAACAAAAGTTATTGGAAGGCTCAAAGAATACAAAAGAAATCACCCCAAAATAAGTGTATAACATTAAAAACAAAAATAGTAGTTTAATGTTTTTAACCCCAAAATAGGAGTTTAGATAATGTGTCATTGTATATTAGCATTCCACAGTATTTTTTGTATTATATATTGACATCATTTACATTGTAACTCAGTTCATTTTTAAGAAATAAAAAATATAACTTTTTTTGGGTGAAATTTACATAAATTAGACTAAAACACAAGCCTCTTCTTGAAATAGGACCTTTCCTATGTGTTCACTCGTTTGTGTGTTCAAAAAGACTGAAATAACGTCAGGGGCCAAGTCATTTCTATCATGAGCCACGCGCTTTTACATTTCAAGAATTTGGCAAGCAAAAAGCACTACAAAAAGAGGGCAGTATCGACAGATCCTTAGGGATAGAAACTTTGTTTGTCTCTAAAAAAAGAATATTACCGACAGATAAAATTATTTGAAGGCAAAAACTATTTGACCCACAGAAAGAGTGATATCTGTCGCTATCAGTTATAGTTTAAGCAACAAACTTTTATCTATCGGTATTGCTTACAATTTAAACGACAAAACTTTATCTGTTAGTACTGTTTATAGTATTAGCAACAAAAATTTATGTGTCGGTATTGTTTATAGTATTAGCAATAAAAATTTATCTGTCGGTATTGTTTATAGTTTTAGCAACAACGTGTTATCTGTCAGTATTGATTTTATTGACATTTAACTTAAATATCTTTATTATAAAATCATAAATTAGGCATCATTTAGTACACGAAATTGAGGTCATGAAATTGAAAATGAAAATCTCAATTTGAATTTTGTTGTTTGGTCGCACAAAAATATATGATATTAAAAATGAATTATAAATTTAAAAGATAAAAAACTATAATAAGGAGGGATTTTCAAGAGACTTCAATCAACAAAAAACACACAATAGTTTCCATGTAGATCCAAACTTATTTCCTGTAGGCATGAATCAAAAGGCCATTGAAATCCTGTTGGTGATACTATGAAAATAAAGAGAAAAAAATTTCAACACCCAAAAAATTGGGGTTGATAAAGAATAATAAAATTTGGGGTTGATAAAGAAAATAAAATTTGGGATTGAGAAATAAATTCGGGTTGATAAAATTTGGAGTCCTAATAGAATAAAATTTGGGATCGATAAATAAATTGGGGTTGAAAAAATTTGGAGTCCTAAGAGAGAAAGGTGTTGGAAAGATTCAACACCAGAGGAAGTAGATCCAAATTCGAGGTAAACGATGAAAATCAGTGACTATATATAAGTTCAGGTTATTGTATTAATGCCAATATATATTTCAGTGTAATTGATAGGGATAAAAGAGCATATACGATGATAATTTTGGAGTAGTCAAGTATGCATGCCTTGTGTTTCTGAAAAGGTTGGTAAGGTACGTGATATATCACAGTATATTAATGAAGAGATATTGTTCATGTCATTGTAACATATAAGTGGCGATCTAAGATATTATGAAATTGTTTGTTAAAAGGTTGTAAGGTAGTATGAGAAATAAAGACTTTAGAGACTAATGAGGAGGCTTGTGTTTAAATGACCTTAGTGTTTAAGAATAAAGTGAGTAACAAGCCTTAAGTGTGAAAATTAGGCATGGGACATATAGTTTTAATAGTGTTAGAAAGACATTACGTATATTAATCAATTATGAAGTATTATTAATCTTGTACATAATGACCAAAGGTAGTATTATAAGTGACAAATATATAATGCTCATAGATTTTGATGGTCATTGATACAAATTAATGGCCAATACTTATTAAAGAAAATATATAAGAGACCGACCTAATCTCGAAGTATAGAGAAATCATTTTCAAACAAAACTAACAAAAACACGTAAGGACAATATGTTGATAAAAAGACATTATGCAACTACACAGACCATTGATAAAGATCAGAATGTAAAATATGGACATCATGCTACTATAAGAGCATTTAGATCATATATAGAACATAATGCACTAAAAAAGAAAGATTTATGCAACTGTTTATGGCTTGCAGTCAATAAGCAGGCACATGGACTGAAAATGTTTCAACACATTGTAATTATAAGAAATAATTGAAGTCCTTCTGATGATCATATCATGGACATTATGAATAAGGTAACCATTTGACAATATGTTAAGGTCGTTAAAACCAGACAAAATCTAAAGGCAATTTAAAGTAATGAAAAAGAAGTGAAATTTTTAGTATAAGATAGGATTTTAAATAAGTAAAAAAAATATTGTAAAAGTAGAAAAATATAATACTCTGTATAAAGTACTTGGGCATCCCAAATTAATATAAATATGATATTTCAATTATTTTATCATTATCCTTCAAAAAAGTATATTATCATTATATTTTATTTAAAAAATTATTTTTTGTTTTGAAATAATTTTTTTTATCTTTGACTGGGGCACATAATATTTTTCATGGGGACACTTTTTTAATTATTAATTTATTTTTTTATTTTTTCACACTATTTACCCCCCCATAAATTTGTGGTTGATCTGCCCATGGTAACATGCACAAACCGCAAAAATGAAGAATACATGTTAATGTAGAAATTGGCTGGTGCGGGAAGAGTTGAATAAAGTATTAAAGACAACCTAATTAATGGGTGTTTATGGATAGAAAATAAAGAAATATAGAGATAGCAGAATTGAAAATTGGGATGGGATGGTAATCACCTGGCCTAAAAGGTAGGAAAATTTAGTGGTTATTTATGTTCTAAATAAGTAAATAAAATCTTATATATAAATTTGCTAACTCTAAGAATTTGACATTTAATTCTTTAAAACAATGACATGTGGCTCTTTTAAAAAATTACATGTGGCGATATCTATGTGTCATTATTTTTTGACAAATTTATATGTACTAGTAATTCAACTCGTGTCACGCACGGGGTCGAACAAAATATTTATTGATTTTTTGAATTTTCATGAATATAATACGGAGTATTTTTTAAATGAGTATGGAAATATATCTAATGCGTTCTTTAACTATGTAGATATTAAAATCAAAGTAAAATAAATAATTTGGCATTTAATAATTGTTTATAAAAATGCTTATATATAAATTCAAAAGTAAACACCTCAAAGTCTTTAAAATTCATATTTTGTTTGAAAGCCTTTGCGGAATATAACATTTTGGTGTGATTGCAAGGATTTTCATTATTACTTAGAACTAATATTTTTAACCATATCTTAGTTTTCACTCGTGAAACAATGACATAAACTTAACTAAAGGTGAACTTCAACCCAGTTAAAAATAATCCAACAAATGATAATTTTTGACATTGACTTTTAACCATAGTCATAACAAAACGTAAAGTGTTCATCGTCGTATATCTTCCTTTGGTTTTCATTCATTGTAGATATATATTACTCCCTCTGTGCTAAAACTATCTTCCCACTTCTTCGTTTTTAATGTCCTAAAATTACCTTCTCACATCCCAAAAAGGGTGTAAAATGATAATCCTACCCTTACAACATCTACTCCCCAACATTCGTCTCTCTATCAATTCCTTTTCTCAAAACCTAGATCTAATCTAGGGATCAAAGTTATAACCATCGCCGTTCTTGAAATCGTCTCATCATCATTAGCTCCCCATCCACACTCAAAATCTCGGCATCACAACATCTCCAGTCGGCATCTAAGGATTGGGATTGCAAGAAGGATGCCGGTAGAAGTACTAAGGTCGCTGGTATGTGATTCGAAGTCTAAACAGCTTCACGAAATTGGAGATGATGATGAGCTTCATTAGCCTCTACCTTCAATTGGAAATTGGCCTAGGTATGTTTTTTCTATAGCCGTCTAGAGTTTTTTTCTATTATTTTTTAATCAGAATTCAGTCCTTTTTCGATTGGTTATTCAATCTGTTACTCCTCAATTGTTTTCTTATTTGGCCACATTTACATGCTACTTCATTAGCAGCTATGCTTTTTGATCGGGCCAGACATGTTAATTGTGGGTATGTCAGTCATTTATCACGGGCGAGCAGGCTGCCCGGCCACCGTTTACACTACTCAATTATTAGAAAAGACAAAAAACTTTTATCTTTTCGGGTTTAGATGGAGGGGAATTTTTGAAAGTCAAAGTCATATTAATCAATCCCTAAAAAATGGGTTTTAGTCAATCAGGGAAGTTAGATTTCAGACGGAGGGAGTATTTAAGATCATATGACAACTTTTATTT